CTGATTTAAAGTCCTTCTAGTTCTCCTCTTTAACACTCACATTCCTGGGTCTCTGAGAAGAGCCCAGTGTGGTGTTTAAGGGCAAAGACTGTGGAGCCTAACTACTTGTGTCCAAATCCTGGCTCTGCTGTTTAATTGCTGGTTGGCCTTGGGCAATTATTTGTTGTTTCTGTGAGCCTCCCCTTCTGTTAGATGGTGATGATAATAGTACCGGCTTCATAGAGTTGTTAGGGTTAAATGCCTAATATTTATAAAGTTGGCATGTGAATTTAGCTTTAAAGAAGAATGAAGTTATGGTATTTGCTGGTAAATGGATGGAGCTGGAGAATATCATGCTAAGTGAACTAAGCCAATCCAAGAGTACCAAAGGCCATGCAGGTGCTAATTCACAATGGTTGGGGGTGGGACGCTAGGCAAGAGTAGAGTTACTTTAGATTAGGTAGAGGGAAAGGAAGGGAGAGTGGAATGAAAGACATTATTGCCTAATGTACATGTATGACTGCATGATTGATTCTACAACATGTACAATCAGAAAAATGAGAAGATATGCCCCATTTATGTATGGTATATCAAAGTGCATAAATGCATTCTACTGTCATGCATAACTATTTAAAAAAAATAAAAAATAAAAAAAAAATTGCTCGCTGACATTATTATTATCTTGATAGTTACTATAGGCCTGACAAAGGCTCTCTAGGATTCAATGAGACATCAACCTATTACAGGCAAGATGGGAAAATGGGGTCTGAATTAAAGCACAACTGGGTGGATTCCCAACTAGAAGGAGGGTTTCTCAGGGTGCGCCACAGGACTCTTCCCTCACTTTCCCCCAAGATTACACTATGGGCTCAAAGTGAAGAGAGGAATTTTCCATCATCATGCCCACAGGCCTTGACTAGGGCAGCTCCTCTTGGGAGCTGTGTGTTCCTTGCATGGGCCTGGATATTCTTTCGGTTGGGATCCATCATATATCTCCTGTACCCCTCAGCTCAGTGTGCAGCTAATAATAGATGCTCAGTAATACACATGTGTACACACGTATACACTCATAACCATATTTCTCAAATGTATGAACACTTCCCAGCTTAGGTGGACAGGTGGGGTTAGAGGAGGGATGACTAATGCTTCAGAGATGAGGATTGAGATTTACAAAGATCTGCAGAGGCTGGAAGATGGCAAGGAATCAGCAAAATGAGACCCAATAGAGATTTGTTCATTCAACAAGTTTTTATTGAGCACCTACTGGACACAAGGCAATTAGAGAATACAGAAGTGAGCCAAAGAGACAAAGTCCTTGCCCTCAAGGAGTTCACAGTCTAGAGCAGGGAGACTGATCAACAAAATGAATCCTAAAATTCAGGGCATCTTAGGAAGGGATAGGTGTTAAGTAGAAAGAAATAAAGCCAGGAAGGGCCTAAGAAGTGGCAGAGGAGAGATGGCCTTAGTTGCAGTATTGGTGGAGGGCAGTCAGAGATGAGGGAGGCAAGGGAGCAGCCTGTGTGGGTAGCTGGGAGGAGCTATCATAGCAAGAACAAAGGCCCTGAGGCAGAGTGTTCCTGGAATATTCAAGAATAAATGAAGGAGTGAACTAGGTTAGGCCTTCTTCATGCTCTGCACTTTTCTCTCCTTATCATAATTACAATTGAAGACTTGCCTAATTACCTGTTTCATATGTTTCCTCATCAGACTCCCAGGTTCCTTGGTGCAGGGGCTGAGCCTGGGTCTCTGCTAAATTTCTAATTTTCAGCGCAGCACCCTTCACATAGTAGGTGCCCAACTATATTTGATTGACTCAGATATACCAGTGGTATTTGGGCAAAAAAGAAACAAATCTCATGTACAAACAAGAACAGGTTGAGAACAATTAGACAGAAAGAAGTCAGGGAGTTGTAGCCGTGGCCAGGGCCTGTCCTGGAGCAGGGAGCAGCCGGGGGTGGGGGGGCTGCAGAGCAGGGGTGTGGTGGGGGATGGTGAACTGAGAGAAGGGAAGACGAGGAAAGGGAGAACTTCAGCTCTGTTGGTTTTACCATGATTTTGCAGCTTGAGCCATTTGTCATTTCACTGCCGCACGGTTTGGTCTCTCCTGCTCCTTTGTGTGCTAGAAGGAATCACCCAGCCAGTGAGGGGCGCAGTTCAATCTCCAGACTGTTGGGTCTTTCCCTCCTTCACTGCAGGGTCTTTATAAAAAATTTGTTCTTTTTAGACATACGTGACAGTAGAGTGTGTTTTGACATATCATACATACACGAGTATAACTCATTCTAATTAGGACCCCATTCTTGTGGTTGTACATGATGTGGAGTTTCACTGTTTGTGTATTCATCTATGTACATAGGAGAGTTTTTGTCCAAATTCATTCTACTGCCTTTCCCATTCCCATCCCCCTCCCTTCTCTTCATTCCGCTTTGTTTAATCCAGTAAACTTCTATCCTTCTCTTCCCTACCCTCTCTAATTATGGGTTAGCATCCATAGATCAGAGAGAACATTCAGACTTTTTTTTTTTTGGGGGGGGGAGGATTGGCTTATTTCACTTAGCATGATAGTCTCACATTTACCAGCAAATGCCATAATTCCATTCTTCTTTATGGCCTGAGTAATATTCCATTATGTTTATGTATCACATTTTCTTTTTCCATTCATCTACTGGAGGATACTAGGTTGGTTCCATAGTTTGGCTGTTGTGAATTGAGCTGCTATAAACATTGATGTGGCTGTGTCCCTGTAGTATGCTGATTTAAAATCCTTTGGTTATATACCAAAGAGTGGGATAACTGGGTCAAATGGTGGTTCCATTCCAAGTTTCCTGAGGGATCTCTACAGTGGTTGCAACTACATGATCTTTTAAACTAATTTTTTCACAGGGGAGGTATCTGGTATGGTAGCATTTGCAAATCTGGGGATTCAAGAAGGTCTCTTGGTATGATTGTCAATGGTTCAGAATTCATCTCTTGAAACAAATCTTACTGATGCCTAGTGTGTTTCAGACCCTGAGTGGGACAGAGTGGTAGACTGGACTCTGTAGTTATGATCTAGTGTCCTGTGGTATTCTCACAAAAATTTGAAGGGTAGGTATGAGGAAGAGGGAGGAGGTTCATTGTGGGCTGCTCTGTGGGGTTATGATCTGAGCTGGGTGGGGGTGACGGCTCCAGCCTGAGTCTCTGTGTAGTGGCCTTGAGCAAGTGCCTTAGATCCCAGAGTGAGGGCTAAAGCAGATTTAGAGGTCATATGAGGAAACTTGAAGTCTACCCAAGGATACGCAGTCTCCGTCCCTCACCCCTCACCTTCTGGGGCCTCAGAGTCCTTAAGTATAAAACAAAAACATTGGCTCAGATGACACTGAAGCTCCCTTCCGGTTCGAATATCCAGTAATATTACAGATATGGGGAAGTTCCGTGGAGGTGGGTTTGGTCCCATGCCAAGTATGACTTCTGTCTTTCTCTCTGAACTCGGAGAAGGCAGGGTGGTAGAGTTTAGTTCATGCAGCCCTTTCCCAAGCACATTCCAGACCCAGAGGGCAGGTCCCCAACTTGCCTCTGGAAAGCAGTCCCCAGGGGTAGGGTTCGGAGCTGGGTCCTCAGTGGAATCCAAGCCATTACCAGCTCTCCCTTTTTGACTCTGGGGCAGCTTCATGCAGTTTTCTCCCTGGGGGTGCTCACCACCCCCTGGATCCTTCTTGTCTCTCTTCTTCTTTATCTGACCTCTCATTCCTTGGACTGCTCTGCTCTCACCAGCCCTTTGTTCCCCTTCAGTGTCATCCAGGGGATCTGGGGAAAGAGGAAGGGGCTTCAGACACATCCACAGTCCTTGGGCCTCAGGCTGGAGCATCTGCAGGATTGACTTCCTCATAACATCTCTCTTGATCGTCCAGTGTGCTGAGTCTCTGTCTGTCCTGACTTTGAGTTGCATTATCAAACTTTGAGTTGCATTATCAAACTTTGAGTTGCATTTTCATTCTTTAGAATGCACCAGGTTCTAGAACAGGGAGGAATAGCCCTCTCGCCATGTAAGGAAATTGTAGACATTCCTAAGAATCAGGGCCATCCAGTTATTTTGGCTGGCAGGGAGAAGCCTCAGTGCAGCAGCTGGGTGCCCTCCCCTGGGAATCCTGCCTGGGGTGGGAGGTGAAGCCCGTGTGCTTCTCCGCTGGCCAATCTCTCTGCTCTGAGACAGAGTCTATCCTGTGAGGAACCCCACATCAGCTGTTTCTGCTCCTGGTCCTCCAAGAATAGCCTTCTAAATGCTCATTTTATTTTGGAGACGGGGTGCCTCTGATGTGTATCCTGGATGTGCAGAGCCAGCTTCAGGTGGATGGGCCTGGCATCGTGCTTGTGGGAGGGACAGGGACACAGGCTGGGCTCAGAAGCACGGATCCAGGCCATCCTGGCTGGAGCTACCTGCTTGAGCGGGTGGTGCCTCATGGATGATTACTGGGTTGGGAAAGAGGAGGGACTGGGACACCCTGCTTTTCTGTCATTTCCAAATCCTGAAGTGTCTTTGAGCTCATGATGGCATCTCTACCTCTGTTCACCTCCTGGCTCCACTGTGCCTTCCTCCTAGGCCTCCTTAAGCTACAGCTTCCTTTTAGAAGCTGCATTCTCCTGTGCTGGCCTCCCCAGGGCATTCTCATGCCTCATCTGACCCCCTCTTCCTTCCTCTCCTTCCCCTTCTCTTCCAGGAAGCCTTCCTTGAATGGCCTCTGTGCCTTTGCTTGGGGACGTCCCTCCCCATCCTCAGCACTGTATTCCAGGTCCACAGCTGCTTCCTTGACTTTAGGGCAGGCCAGTCTGTCCCATCCGCCCAGGGGCTCCCAGGGTAGGGCCTGGGTCTCCTTCTTCCTTGAGTTCTGCACGTGCGAAACATCTATTCTCCAGGTGTGTCAGAGTAGGTCAGCTGCAGCCAAGTGACAGACACAGTCAGGCAGAGAGCATCTTGCTCTCCAAGGCCCAGCCCAGGTACGGGAGGGGATAAAAGTCTCGTGCCAGGGCCCTAGGGCAGAAACACACACACCTTGACCATCTGTCTGTCTGTCTGCCTCTGTGCGACTGTCTCTGCCATGTCTCTTTCCCCGTGCAGGGCCAAGAGGGGCTTCAGCGCTCACTCGGCCTGTTCTGCTCTCTCAGGGGGGCGCAGCAAGGGCAGCTTCAGCAGCAGGAGCCTCAGTTCCTTTGGCGGCTGCCGAGGGGCCTCTCGTGGGAGGGCCTGGGGGTCGAGGGGAAGGCAGGGGGTGTGGTTTGGGCAAGGGAGTGGGGGGCCTGGGCTTTCCCTGTGCCCTCCTGGGGGCATCCAAGAAGTGACCATCGACAAGAATCTGCTGACCCCACTGAAGATTGAGATTGACTCCCAGTTCCAGGTGGTGAGGACGCAGGAGACTCAAGAGATCAGGACCCTCAACAACCAGTTTGCTTCCTTCATTGACAAGGTGAGGGTCAACTCCAACTGTCTCCCCCCTCCCTCAGAGGAGCTGCTCTTGATGGACTGAGAATGGGGAAATCAGACCTTCTTCTATCACTTTTCTAGTCAATTCCACAACAAGGAAGTCCCCCTGTGGCCTGGTTCTGCTGAGGCCCTGTTTTCCATGGCTGGGGTTCAGGGACAGGAAATAGCCAGGCTGCTGGGAAGACCCTTCCCTGTTAGACTGTCCAATCATTTTGATGTATCCAGGCTCTGATGAAAGGCCACCAGGCTTGGAAGGCAGACACAGGGTGCTGACAGGAAGGCCTCTGAAGCTTTACTTTCCAGAGGTTGCCTGAGGAGTCCCACGGGAGCCTCAGGGACCCCATGCTTGGGTTGCAGGTGCGGTTCCTGGAGCAGCAGAACAAGGTCCTAGAGACCAAGTGGCACTTGCTGCAGCAGTTGGAGGTGAGTGACAGCCCCCGGGGCCTGGAGCCTGTCTTTGAGGACTACCTGGCACATCTCAGGAGGCAGCTGGAGCAGCTGCAGAGAGAAAGAGGGGCTCTGGATGCCGAGCTGAAGGCCTGCCAGGACCAGGAGGAGGAGCATAAGGCCAAGTAGGTACTGACGTCGCCCCCTGGGGTCTGCGAGGAGAGGACCCGAGGGGTCTGTAGCCTGTGCCTAGAGGACATGACTGTCCTCCCTCTTCTGCTCTGCGTTCCCTTTTCCCTAACTCATAAGGGCCCCACCTGCTACAGGGAGTGGAGACCCCACAGCCCCCACCTCCACCCAGGTTTGGAGAGACTCAGAGGAAGGTCAGGGTGATCTGTTTCCGGTGGGTCCAGGCCCATTTCCTCTAGGCCCCAGCTGTGAGGGCCCATGTTTCTGGGATGGGAAGGGCTATTTAAACAATTCCTCAGTAGGTTTTTTTTTTTTTTTTAAAGAAATTCCTGTTTAGCAGGCTGTGGGCTAAAGTGACTCAGATGTTCTCTGTCTCAGGTGTGGAAGGAAATCAATTTATTGGGATTATCCCCAGGCCCAGGGCATGATTCACAGTCGGGCTGTGGTTCTGGGCTCCCAGATAGGTCACCTGGTGGTGAGGAGCACCACCATTGACTGGCAGGAGGCATGGGTGGAGAGACTGTGACAAGGACTAGCTGTGTGGCCTTGGCAAACCATATACCTCTCTCAGCCTCATTTTTCATATCCATGCACTGGAAAAAGTTTATCCACCTTTCTTACCTCCCAGAGCTATTGGGAGTGGGCTCTAAGGAGGAGGAAGAAGGGCTGGAAGGAGCCCAGGACTGGGCAAGGGGACCTGGATTCTAGATCTGCTATGGCAGGCTCATCATCAGTGGGACCCTGGCTAAGTCTTTTCCCCCTGATAAACCCAAACAGCCTATTGCAGGTGATGGTGTGAATAATAACTGAGAACAGGCACTTGAATGTGCCCCAGGAACTGTGAAGTAATGTGGCCTGTTGTCACAGGGACATGAGCTGGAAGAGTGGCACAGGAACATAGCTAGGATGTGACAGAGCCTCCTGGCAGGAAAGCAGAGAAGGGGGCTGGTCACTGGTTCTGCTTTGGACCATCTAAAGCAGGGGAGCCCTCCTCAGGGAGTGCATGCTGGGAGGCAGGGCCCTGGGCTCTGGCCTGGCACCTGACTGTCCTTCTCTACCTGGCAGATATGAGGAGGAGGCCCGCAAGCATGCCACCGTGGAGAATGACTTCATGGTCCTCAAGAAGGTGAGGGGGTGTCAAGAGCTCCACTCAGACCCTGAGCCCTACTGTGCATGGAGCCTGCTCCTACACTGGGAAGCAGAGGGTGGAAGTCCTGAGTGAGGACACCACCCACCCTACCTGCAGACCCCCCACTCCCTGGGAAAAGGGACTCCAAGACAAGATCCAATTGAAGCCCTAAGTGATGAGCTCTGGGTGTCAGTGAAAGAGTGGGTGGGGAAGGAGTGGAGTCAATCAAGGAAGCTTCCAGAAGGCAGCATGGGCCAGAGTAGGGCAAAGAAGAGAGCGGGCCAGGATGGGGCTAGAGGAGGAAGCAAGAAGCATCTGGAAAGTGGCTTTGGGCAGTGGGTGCCCAGAATTCTAAGCCAGTGTAAAGTTCACAAAGAGAAAGTAAGAGATGCATGATTTCTGTCTTCCTGTCTCCAGGACGTGGATGGGGTTTTCCTGAGCAAGATGGAGTTGGAAGGCCAGCTGGAAGTTCTGAGAGAATACGTCTGCTTCTTGAAGCGTCTGTATGAAGAGGTGAGGCTCTGCCAAGGGCAGGTGGGAGCGATAAAGGGGACAGGGTGGGCAGGCTCCCTGTGGCCATGTGGGGAGTGACCAGGAGGAGAAGCCATTTAGGGTGGCTTAGATTTGTGGTTATTCAGTCATTCTACAATCAGTTATTGAAAACTTTTACTATGTGGATTGCTAGGTACCAGGGGTACATCAATGAATAACCAGACAAAACCCACAAAGCTTGTTTTCTTTTGGAAGACAGACGTAAGCACTAGGCTTGTAAATAATTGTGCAGTATGACAGAAAGTGACAAACGCAATGGAGAATAGAGAAAGGAGGGTTGGGAATGTGGGGCAGATGGTGATTTCAAATAGCCCTCATAAGGAGGTAAAGTTAGAGTGAAGGTTTGAAGGAGGTGAAGAAGTTCATGAAGGAGGGTTTCTGGGATTGTGGGCAAAGGTTTCAGCCCATAGCCTGGTGTTCTATGTCACGTGGCCCCTGCAAGGGAGGCATGTGCTGGAGAGAAGTAGGAGCATGTGGGCAGGACAGTGATAAAGGGCAGAGGAGGTGACTTTGGGTCTTGAACACCATTTCCTTTAATGGTCAAGCTTCAAGGGTTACTAGAGACCATCCATCCTATGGCCTTATTTTCAAGAGGGAAGAAAGACTGAGGCCCTCAGAGGGCAGGACATATGCAAGGCCACTAAGATTGAGTGAGGATGGCCAGTTGACAAAATGTGGGAAGAAACTCAGGCCTCCTCCCCCACATGGGGTTCCAGGGGAGAGGGAACTGGTGGCCACTGAGTCAGTCCTCCCTGTAGGAGCTGGGCCAGCTGCAGATCCAGGCAAGTGACACATCTGTGGTTCTGTCCATGGACAACAATCGCTGCCTGGACTTCAATGACATCATTGCCGAGGTCCGCGCCCGGTACGAGGAGATCACCCAGAACAGCAAGGCTGAGGTTGAGACCCTGTATCAGACCAAGGTGCTGGGGCCAGGGGGATGGCATGATGCTGGAAATGGCTGGGTCTCCATGTCTGCTCCCTAGGGTGGTCACCCATCTCGGTTCCATTGGGGCAGTTCTGATAACCTCCTTGAAGGTCCAGGGTTGGGTGGGCAGGAGCATATCCTCTGCAAGGCAATTGTGGGAGACAAGCCTGGGCTTCCGTAGGCACAACTGCTATGTCCTGGTCTCAAGCAGTGAACCCACATCTGGAAGATGAGGATGTGAAGAGACATCTCCAAAGGCTGGGAGGTGGGGTTTAGGGGGTTGGGGTTAAGGGGGCGGTCTGCTCAACCACTGGTGTCTCCCCTCTTCCCCTCAGTACCAGGAGCTTCAGGCATCGGCCCAGCTTCATGGGGACAGCATGAAGGAAACCAAGGTCCAGATGTCCCAGCTGCAGCAAGCAATCAAGAGGCTGCAGAGTCAGATCGCCAGTCTCAAGGAGCAGGTCAGGCTCCCAGGGCCTTGGCTCACTGCTTTGTGCCTTGGCTCTCCCCAGGTCCCAGGCTCTTCCTGGCTAGACTCGTGTGGGTTGTGGGAAGCCTTGGTACCCGGATGGGGCTTAGGGTAATTGGGGTGGAGAGACCCCCACGTATCCTCTGGGATGAATTCTGCCTCCTCTGTGACTTCCAGGCTGTTTGTTGACTTTTTCAGGAAAGGGCCCCTGCATGCAAAAACCCCAGGGGGACTGTTACCACATCCAGGTGGACATCTTGCTTTTGGCTTCTGAATCTCTTTTCCCATCTCTTCTTTTGACTTTTACTCCTCAAACCAAGCAGGGACTTATGGTCAACCACTGAATTTCCTGGTCCCCTTTTGGGGACAGTGAGAGCCCAGAGAAAGGCAAGATGGGTGATGGTCAGGTGGGGGCTGAGCCCTCCTTAGGCAGGGGCCTCACAAGCTTCTGAGGGGAGGAGGGCAGGATATGGGGAGGGCTGTGGTGCCCTGCTCCTTGCAGAGCTCACTCTTAGCTGGGAAGGGTTATGATTTAAAAAGCACTCAAGTCTTTGAACTTGTATTTCCCAAAGCCAAAGAATACATTTTGGGACCCACAGAGGGTGGTGAGCAGAAGCCAGAGGCAGGTGGATTCTCTAAGCAGGGCAGTTTGATGATCAAGTCACACTCCCAGGCAGGTTCCCCCGGGGCCGGTTCTTGGAGCATTGGCAGGCCACTTACTTCATCCCAAACATCCTCACAGCTGTCTTCTGGAATGAGATGAGGTTGAGAGGCATAGGACAGGTCCTAGTGCTCAATTTGTTGCTTCCATGTTTTCCCAAAGGACTTGGACCCTTGCTGTGGAATCCCCTGGGGTATCTATATGACACAGATTCCAGGCTCCCAGGCAGACCTGGGGAATCAGAATCTCCAAGCGTGAGGTCCAGACCCCTGCTTTTTAATCAAGTCCACCACTGATTCTGAAGCCAGAGGTCTTTCCAGGGCCAGCCCTGAGGAGTGTCTAGCAGGGGCTCAGGCCTGGAAATCATGGCTCCTCATGCAAAGGCATGAGCATTTCTTGAGAGTTCCCTCTTGGGGATCAAGTGCCCTTTTCCTTTTTCTATGCAAGCCTAATGGCCTCGGTGCTCTTGTGCTAGGTCCCAGGTGCTGGATGCCAGTTGCCCTAGGTTGGCACTGGGTCCCCACTCTGCTACCCTTTACCTTTCTGAGTCTCAGCTTCTTCAGGGATAGAGTGGAGATGACGTTCCCATGGTGGTCCCTGTTGGGGGTGGAACAGTGCCTTTAGGGAACCCCTTCCTTCTTAGTTGGATGGGAGGCTGATGAGTCAGGGAGCCTGTCCTTCCTTGGGTCCCCTACTAATTGGAAAACACATGCAGAGGCTGCTTCTCAGATGGAAACTCAGGGCAAAGGGTTTGACAGAACACTGTAACAGGGCTGTCCCCAGCCACTTATGAACCCTGGCTGCCCTCAAGATGAGACCTGAGGATAAGGGCCCATACAGGACAGGAGCCCTTTACATGGTTGGGGGGGAAATAAATGGGAAAGATCTCTTGAGCTCAAGAGAGTAGTATTAGTTTCCTAGGCAGCTGCACAAATTGTCACAAACTTGGCAGCTTAAAGCAACATAAATTTATTCTTTTGCAGTTCTGGGGCCTCTAAGTTTGAAATCATGGTGATTTATTAAGGTTCTGCTGGGGATGGAGAGGTCCTTTCTAGCTTTTTGTGGCTCCAGGGATTCTTTAACTTTCCTTTTTTTTTTTTTTAAAACCAGGGATTGAACCCAGGGGCGCTTAACCATTGAGCCACATCCCTAGCCCCCACCTTTTTTTTTTTTTTTCTTAATTTGAGACAGGGTCTCACTAACTTGCTTAGGGCCTCTCTAGGTTGCTGAGGCTGGCCTTGTACTTGTGATTCTCCTGCCTCAGCCTCCCAAGTCACTGGGATTACAGGTGTGCACCACGGCGCCTGGCTACTTTCCATGTTTTATTGCTGCATAATTCTGATCTCTGTGTCTGTTTCAACACAGCCTCTTCTCTGTGTCTGTATTTATGTCCTCTCCTCTTCTGATAAGGACACCAGCCACTGTTTTAGTTATTACCTTAGATACAGTATGATATCATCATGAGATCCTAACTCATTAAATCAGGAAAGACTGTATTTCCAAATAAGTCATATCCTGAGGTTCTGGAAGCAGGAAAAAATTGGGGGACTCTATTGAACTCCCTGCAGGAACTAAGAAAGCATTGGAGGCTATACTGTTCCTTATGGGGAGTGGGGCAGTCATGGATAATTTTGAGCTCACGAGGCTGATGTTCCTCCAGCTCTATCCACAGTGGGTTCTTTGGGATGCTGTGTTGGACTTACAGCTACTTTCTCTCTCATTTCTACTGCCTTCTAGAATGCCAACCTGCAATCAGCCATTGCTGACGCTGGGCACCGTGGGGAGCTGGCCTTGAAGGATGCTCAGGCCAAGCTGGACGAGCTGGAGGGTGCTCTGAGAACGGCCAAGCAGGACATGGCCCGGCTGCTGCGGGAGTACCAGGAACTCATGAGCACAAAACTGGCTCTGGACGTGGAGATTGCCACCTACCACAGGCTGCTGGAGGGAGAGGAGTACTGGTGGGGCAGCTTGAAGGGACCTGGGAATATGTGATAGGGTGGAGGAGGAGGATGGAATGCCAACAAAATGCTCTCCTTGCTAAAGGGGATTCTGAGGCCGGGTACAGTGTAGCATGCTTGTCATCCCAGCAACTTGGGAGGCTGAGGCAGGAGGATTGCAAGTTTGAGGCCAGCTTTGGCAATTTAGCAAAGTCCTAAACAACTTAGTGAGATCCTGTCTCAAAATAAAAAATAAAAAAGCCTGGGGATGGGCTCAGTGGTAAAGTGTCTGGGGGTTTAATCTCCAGTATTAAAAAAGGAGGGGTAGATTATGAAAGATTTCTTGACACTGTGAGTTGCTAAGAGCAACTGACTCTGCTGGGAGGGATTTTAAATTGGGGACTGGATTTTGTATGCTGAGAGGATAGGTGAGCTGCTCCTAGAGGCTTAACACCTGGGGATGCATTCTTTGCAGATTTTCTTAGCATTTCTTCCTTTTGTTTTCCCCCCCATGCCCAGGATGTCAGGAGAATGCAGCAACCAGGTCACTATCTGTGAGTATCTGGGGACTTTGAGAGTGGTATTCCCATGGGGCACTGATGACCCTGCTTTTGACCCTGGTACATTTCTTGGCAGCGACTGTGGGAGGCAGTGCCGTGGTGTCTGGAGGAGTTGGTGATGGCCAGGTGGGCACTTGTGGACTCAGAGGACCCGGAGGCGGGAGAGGCAGCTTTGGGTCTGGCTGTTCCAGCATTGTGACAGGAGGCTTCAGTGCCAACTGGGGCTCTGGACAGGGACCTGCTTTGGGTTCCTGCTCTGTGTCCGGCTCTGGCTTTGGTTCTGGCTCTGGCTCCTGCTCTAGCCGCGGTACCATCCTGAAGAAAACGGTAGAGTCAAGTGTGAAGACGTCCATCACATACTGAGTGACACAGCTCCTCCCTCCTGAACCCATCAGCTCCCATCTCATCCCCCAGCTCTGCATGGTCAACTCCATGTTCACTGCCTGCAGCTCAAACCAGCCTATGCGGGTTTGAAGACAGTCAATAAAGTCCCACCCACCTGCTGTTCTGAGTGCTCAGCCTGGCTGGCCTTGCTCTGCATACTTATTTACATCTCATTTGCATGCTGCCCATCCCAAGTCACAGTGCCCTGTGCCTGGTCTTCCAGCCAGCTGACCATATTCTCTCCTTTCTCCGTGGCCTTCAGGCTGAGCGGGAAAATCTCCCGGCTGGGCTTGACCAGGCTACATCTCCATTCCAAAGCTTGTCTTTTAGCAGGAGTGGGGAGGCCTGAGACCCACTCACCAGACACTGGAGGTTGGAACCAAGAGTGCTCTCTCTTGTCCTCTTTACCCACCTACTGTAAGCCCCCTCTAGGCCTCTGTGAAATGGCACAGAATCCAGTTCTCCCTGGTGTATCTGCTTTTATCTCTCCCCTGATTTCTCATCTCCCTCTCTTCTTCCCCCCAATTTGACACAGGGCAAACAATACTTAAGGTGCTGCCATGGGACTGGGGCTACTCTGGCAAGCACTGGGTACTGTGTTTTTCCCTACTTCTGGATATCCAGCATAATCCCTCCCACCTCCGACAGCCAGATCTTCATTCTCAGAGCCCTTGGCTTCAGGGTCAGAGGGCAGGCCTCCTGTGACTAATTCAGATCTCCTGTGCTGGGAAATGAGGACGTGTGGAAAGTCCTTCTGTGTCCCGTCTTTTCTTCCAGTCCCCTCCCAGTGATGCCCCCACCCCCCACACCAGGTCTAAGCAGGGTGGCAAGCCTGATTCTCTCATCTCTGATCTTAACTTGGCCTTTGCCCTCCTGGACAGGAATGCCCAGGCAGGTCAATAATTGAACACAGATGCTAAGTAACAGCCTCACATATGGGTTCAAGGGCATTTGGGGGAGGCCAGAGGGCAGAGATGAAGTTTCCCTGTGGCAATGTGCAGCTCCTCTGCTACTCTTTCCAGCCATTCATCCCTGCCCCGAACTTGTACACTTCACTCACGATGACATTTCTTTGTCATTCTGGAAGTGAGGATCCGAGAGCTAAGTTGACTTGAATGATAGGATTGCTTATGGAGGTGTGGGTGGGGCTGCCAAGGGATGCCATGGGTCTTTTCATCAAAATGACCCAATATTTCTCCTCCAGGAAATCTTCCTGAATTCCCCTGCGGAACTCTTCCTGTCCCCAACACATTCAGGCTGCACCTGCTGCTGTCCTGAGCTCTGTGTCTGTCTGGTTAGTTGGGGACTCAGCTTCTCTGTTGGCCTGGGACCTCTGGGAAGCTTCTTCTGCCCCTAGGAAGGGGATCTCAGCTTAGCTCCCGCCTGGGGCTCTGTTGGGGACCAGGGGCTGAAACTATGCCCCTACCCTCTCTCTAGGCTTCCATCCCATCCTCAAGCCTGTCTGAACATGAAGCTGAAAACCTCCCCTGCTTTCCTCTTTCAGGAAGCTCTGCTGGAAGCTGGGAGTGTGAGAGGCAGGGCTGGGGCTAGCAGGGGCTGGGAGGACGTTTCTCTACCTCCCCTGGCAGTCAGGTGGCTTCTGCCATTGCTCCTGCCCCTTGTTCCCTTTCAGACCAAAGTGGGAACCTGGCTCATTTGTCAACTCCATACCTGTGCCATGGGGCATCACACCACTCCTCACCCTGCATTAGGGGGAGGGAAGCCCTTTCTTTAGCTCCGTGGATCTCTCCATTAAAATGACCCAAGCTTCGTGTGAGGGAGGCATGAAGGGGTGAGACCATGACTCTGTAGCTGGACCTGGAGAACCAGGGGGTCAGAGACAAGCACCAGCTGGAAGCTGGGAAGCCTCTACCACCTCTAAGCCAGGGTGCTCAACCACCCCAGATTGTCTAGTACGGAGGGGACGTGCAGTACTGAACCTGGCACGGTCCTGGGAAAATCAAAAGGAGGTGGTTGCCCTGTGTGGAGCTGAAGGGACAAGAGAAGACAGATACAGAGTTGCAGGAACTGAGAGGGGATCTCTGGAAGCCGTAATCCCAGAGGGGAAGGAAGGAGGAAGAGGGGAATAGTACCTGCCCTCTCTCTCTCCCTCCTTCCCGTTTCCTCTCCCTTTGGTCAACTCCACTGGAGGGCAAAGAGCAGGGAAGCATCCCACAGCAGGAGAGGAGGGTAGAGAATTGCTCCGGGGTGGGAAGGAAGCAAATGGAGCATAACTAGTATAGAGAATAACCATGCTTATCCCACAGAAAATGCTTAGGCCACTTTGGGTCATGTAGCAAGTGCTTAATAAATGCGGACTACAATGATTATTACTAGATTAGTAGAAAGTTCTACTTCTCCCTGGGGACTCCTCACTCCTGTGTCTTCCCTATTGCTCAGCACCCTCGGCCCACACTAGGGTCTCAGTTGCTGTGAGCAGGTGTTTTGCTGCATTCCTTTGGCAGCAGCAATAGTAGCATGGAATCTGTTTTTGCCTCCTGATGGCTGGGAAGGACTTTGGGCAGTGAGTGCCTTGGTCTCCGGACCTAGAGCACCTTGGTAACAAGCAGCTCTCTCTTATGGAGAAATGGAGGGGAGGAAGCTGCTCTTCCCTGGGCTTGTTAAATAATATTTGTGGGAGGCCATTGATTTGAAAGAGACCAGCCCAATATGGAGTTTAATTACCATATCTGACATCTAGTTAATTGTGGGGGGCACTCTAAATGATTAACCATTTAAGCCGGAGCCAGTTAAGCTGTCTTTACAGTGCCCTTCCGTTTCCTGTAAGTCCTGTTGGCTCACGTCAGTGGTCGGAGTTCTCTGAAGCTGCTTTGGTTCTGAGGTCTGTCCAATTCACTGGTTGGGTTTTTTTTTTGGTTTGGTTTTACTTTGTTCTGTTTATGACTGCTCAAATAAATTCTACTAATCTTAAAAGTCTGAGTTTTTCTTTTTAAGAGGGAGCAGAAGGAAGGTGTGGGTGAGGATGTCTGAAAGTAGAGTGGGGGGTGGTGCTGGGGAAGGCAGAGGGGCTGCCCACTCCTCTGTCTGGTCTGGCCCATGCATGGCTCTGCTTGGGTGTGCGGGAGGCTATCTCCTGAGCAGCTGTGTGCTCCGTGAAGAGTGGGCCAGGGTGGCCTGTGCACCTGTCACTAGCTTCCAGCTCAAAACCTGGCACAGACGGCGTGCGTGGTACGGCTGTGAATGAGTTGCGTGAGTGAGTGTTTCCCTGGGTGGGGTGTATTTGGAGTGAATGTCAGTCTCTGGGGTGGGGTATATTTGTGTTTACGACCCGACTCCCACTCCCACCACCCCAGCAACATGGTGACTCAGAGGACTGACATCACTCCCTCTCCAGGGGGCTGGCAGCCGCATCCTGGAGGCTAGGCTGGTTCATGACTGTATTCCCTCCCACGCTGCGCTGTGTGCGCAGGGAGAGATAAGGGAGGCTGAGAAAGTGATCCCAGCCTGGGGAAAGGAGTCAAAGGCCGGTGGGAAGAGATGGCTCAGTCTAGGGCTCACAGGCCATCATTTTCCCAAAGGATTTCTGTGGGCCATGCTTATAGGCCAAAGAGATGAGGCCCAGAGAGGTTGAGAGTTGCCTGAGGACACAGGGCTAGTGGGCATTTGTCTTTAAGCCCTGCTCCTGTAAATGTCTGACACCCTCACTCCAAGCAGGCAAGACAGTCTCTCAGGCATTAGGGACTAGTCTTGTGGGTGCCTTACCTCACTCCTCGTGGGAGCTGCACTTGACTTCTTCAAACAATAGGGAGCCCTTATGGTCCTCCAGGGAGCTCCTTGGGGCCTGGAGGGCTCTTTCTCTCCATCTGCCTTCCGTTGGGGAATGGAGAATGCCTCTTCCATTGGGGTCCCATGCCTCTCTTTTGGGGTCTTGGGGAGCCAAGCTGGCTGAGCCTCCCAGCTGTAGCCCAGTGGGGTGTGAGGACTCTCCTCTTCTTCCTTTTTCATTGCTGAAAGCTGAAGGGGGCGAGGAGGGCCACCAAATCACCTCCTCAATCAGCCCACAGTCCTAACATTTGGAGTCTCCCTGGCTTTGCTTGGGGCTGGATTTGGTTTGAGTTGCCTGAGGTGGGTAGGGAGCAAGGGATTATGTGATTTTGAATGTTTTTCAGTGCTATGCAGATGTTTCCACCACTGAGCTACATCCTCAGCTGAAGGACGCCCTTGGCCCCTTCTGAGTCAAGAATTTGGGCTCTTGACGGGCAGGGAAAGAGGGGACTCATGGGGGTGCTGCATAGGCTTTTGGGGGCTTCTGTTGTTCTGGGATCTGTATTTCCACCCATGAAGGGAGGTGTCCCTCACCCACTTTCAGCTCCTTCCAAAGTGGCCGCACCCTTCTAGGGAGATTCCACCTGCAGAAAGTCAGGGGTTTCAGGTGATGGCAGGAGCTCCTTACCCACATCCAGTCCTCAGGAGAGTGTGCTGTGACCCCAGGCCCCAGGGAGATGCCTGAAGACCCCAGAGCTTTCTACCCCTCATCATGTGCCCACAGCCCATGGGTGGGCAGGGGCCTCTTTATGTCCTTGAATTCACTTTGTTCCACACAGTATCTCTACCCAACAGACATCTGCCAGTCGAAAGAGCAGACTGCCACCCTGTCACCTGTGCCCCCAACCCAGGACCTGCTAGGAGGCAACAGGGAGGCTGCCCATGGGCCAGGAGTGGGACTGGAGCAGGCCTGGGCACTCTTCAGCAGCCCGTTGCCCAACGTTCCTTCCCTTCCACCTGCACAGCAGAGGGCCCTGGGGCCTTGGCTTACAACAGGGCCTTGGGAGGAAGCTCACAGAACACAGAGTCCCATTGACTGAGGCCACCAGGGCTGGGTGGGAGGAGAACCAGTCAGCCACTGGGTGTTGGGGGTGGATGTGGGAGCCCTTATCATCCTGTTCTAAGTGAGGACTGCCTGAGGGAGAGAGTCTTGCTCAGCCCCAGCTCTGGAGCACAGGTGAGGGCTGGGAGGGGCCGGCCCCTCCTGCCTGCTGGGGGAGAGGGGACTCCCTCCAGGCCCATGGCCCCTCCCTCTCCTCCTGGGGCAAGGAGGCAGGGGTGCGTGTGGAGCCCAGGAACCAGCCCAGCTGGGAGAAGATAAAAACGCCATTGGTGGCCCAGCAGCTCCCGCGCTGCCTCCTGTTCTCAGCCTGCTCTCGGCCACTCTGCCAGCCATGAGATCCTCCCTGTCTCGGCAAACCTACTCAACCAAAGGAGGCTTCAGCTCCAACTCAGCCAGCGGAGGGGGCGGGTGTAGAACCCGCAACAGCTTCAGCTCGGTGACAATGTCCCGGAGCAGTGGCGGTGGTGGTGGGGCTCGCTGTGGCCCCAGCACCAGTGGCTTTGGCAGCCGGAGCCTCTATAACTTGGGAGGCAGCAAGAGCATCTCTGTCAGCGTGGCCGGAGGGGCCTCCTCGGGCCGGGCTCTGGGGGGCTTCGGCTTTGGCAGTGGGGCCTACATGGGCCTGGGGGCTGGCAGGCAGACCTTCGGGCCTGCTTGTCCTCCAGGGGGGATCCAGGAGGTCACTGTCAACCAGAGCCTGCTGACCCCCCTCAATGTGGAGATAGACCCAGAGATCCAGCGGGTGCGCACCCAGGAGCGCGAGCAGATCAAGACCCTCAACAACAAGTTCGCCTCCTTCATCGACAAGGTGGGGGGCATGGTGTGGATGCAGGGCCTCTAAGGAAGGGAGCAGGGGCAGACACTGGGGTGGGGCTGGGTGGGAGGATTTGGTTTCCTTGGGCCTGAGCCTGGGGCTGAGATGTGGATGGGGATGGTCCTCCGCCTCTTTCTGTAGAATCTTCATTCTAAGCACGAGGCCTCCTGGCCAAGCCCAGTGGTGGTGGTGTGGGGGGGGAGCCTTTATTATGGTCATCCTTTTTTTTTTTTTTTAAAATATTTATTTTTTAGTTGTAGTTGGACCTTCATTGAATACCTTCATTTTATTTATTTATTTTTATGTGGTGCTGAGGATCGAACCCAGGGCCTCGCATGTTCGAGGCGAGCGCTCTACTACTGAGCCACAGTCCCAGCCCTATGGTCATCCTTAATATAACTACATGGCAGTCTTGTCTCAGAATCAAAACTTGGATAGTCCTTGCTGATCCTCTTAGTGTGGTGGCCCTTACTGTATTTTTGTCATTCTCTAGCTGGGGAAACCGTGACTCAGGAGTTCAACAAGTTATCCAAAGCTGAGGTTGGCCTCCGTCTGTCCCTGCTCTCTCAGGCTTGGAGGAGGCCTAAGGGCCAGATGTGGTCAGAACACAGTTGGGGGGGTCTCAGGGGAAGTCCTCCATTGCTTCTCCTTTTTCTGCTCCCTGCTGAAGTCAAGAAGCTCAGTTTGGGGTGGACAATGAGGTGGGTGGTCACCAGGTTACCAAGCCCTGAGGCTGTGGAGTTTGGACTGTTGCAGACTGGGAGTGTCTGCATCCTTCTCTGGTCTCCAGGCTGACTGGGGTGACTCTTGTACTGTTTTCTGGCACTTCTTGGTACATCCTTTTGGCCTTGTCTTTCTTGGCCCTGAGCCTTGGAAGTGGGGAAAGATGTGGTGGACAACAGTACTTTGGTCCAGTGATTTGTGCTTTCACAAAGAACACTCACATCCCCATTTTCATGCAATACCCTCAGTGGTTCCCTGACTCTGGTACCATTTTTTTGATACTGAGGAATGAACCCAGGGGCACTTAGCCCCTGAGCCACATCCCCAGCCCTATTTTATATTTTATTTAGAGACAGGATCTCATTGAGTTGTTTAGGGCCTCGCTAAGTTGCTGAGGCTGGCTTTGAACTTGCAATTCTCCTGCCTCAGCCTCCCGAGCTGCTGGGATTAGAGGGCTGTGCCATTGTGCTGGGCCAGTACCATTTTTGAGATTAGAAAATTGAGGTTTACAAAGGTTGAGGGATTTTCCCAGGCTCATACAGGTACACGAAGGCAGAGGCAGAACTGGAGCCCATCGTTCTTGGCACCAAGAGGTTCACCTGCTACCTGGAGCTCTCTTGTGGTGTGACAGTGGCTCAGGCCATGTGGAGGTGGAGAGACAGGATGGCAGATTCCGATGAAGCAAGGCCTCCCGCCCACCTCCTTGCTCTCTCCCCTAGTGACTTTTGGTTCTTTTGTGGGACTGTCCCAGGAGTCAAATAGGCAAAACCTTTTCTTGGGCTTCCAGAATCATTGCCTGGTCACTGGAGGGTGAGAGATGTGTGTCTGGTGTTTCAGAGTCTGGCTGGGCAGAGCTGTCCCCTCTTCCTGGGGAGTGCTGTTAACCCACCCTTTGAGCCTCCTTTTAGGCCTGTAGAATTGGTCCCAGGCATAGATATTAAAAAAACAAAAGCAAAACCAAAACACCAAAACCCCAAAACCAACCAACCAAAAAACAAACAAACAAAAAACATAAAAAATGAGGAATTTGCAGAGAAGTTGCAAGAATAGTCCTACATAGGTTTTCAGATTTAGTAGTTTTCAACATTTGGCCATAATTTTTCTCTCTTGCTTGTGTGTGTATCATTAGCATTTATTTATTTATTTTTGTACTGGAGATTAAACCCAGGGGCACTTAATCACTGAGCCACATCCCCAGCCCTTTTTTATATTTTATGTAGAGACAGGGTCTCACCGAATTGCTTAGGGCCTTGCTAAGTTACTGAGACTGGCTTTGAACTTGCAATCCTCCTGCTTCCCGAGCTGCTGGGATTACAGGAGTGCACCACTGTACCTGGCCTTATCAGCATTTTTGACAGTTGATTTTGGTGCAGAATTAGGATTCAGAATTCAGAATTGACCTGGTCTTTTTTACTCAGGACAAGCAAGAAAGGGAGAAGTGGTGTGACCAAGGCCAACCTGTAAATGTCTGAGCCAGGGCTCTTGTGTTTATTAATTCTTAAGAGTCCTTCTCATCAGGTGGGGCTGTCATGCCAGCAGAGATGCTCCCCTCAGCACTCTGTCCCCTCAGGACTCTCTCCCCTCAGCAGGGTGCAAGTGCTGCTGCTCTGCCGCTGTGATGCTGGCTTGGGATGCAGGGGGGTGGTGGTCCCTGTCCTCAGTCCCTCCTGTGGCCAGAGGATAATACCCTTCTTTTCTCTGGCTTAGGTACGTTTCCTGGAGCAGCAGAATAAAGTGCTGGAGACCAAGTGGGCTTTGCTGCAGGAGCAAAGCCAGAACATGGGTGTCACCAGAAACAACCTGGAGCCCATCTTTGAGGCCTACCTGAGCAGCCTGCGGAGGCAGCTGGATAGCAAGCAGGACGAGCGGGGGAGATTGGACTTGGAGCTGAGGAACGTGCAAGATCTCCTGGAGGACTTCAAGAACAAGTGAGGAGAACTGGGCAGGCTGGCCTAGGGCAAGGGGCAGTGTGGGAATCTCCTGGAGAGAGCCTCCCACTCCCAGGGTTCTAGAATCTACCTGTTTCCCTCGGATGCTCAGTTCTGGGACCTGCTGCTGCCTGGAGAATTGGTGACTTAGTTTGTGTATTGTTTGTAGTTAAAAATATGTTTTTTTTTTTTTTAAAAGCATCTGGGCATGGCGGCACATACCTGTAATTGCAGCAATTTGGGAGCCTGAGGCAGGAGGATTGCAAGTTCAAAGCCAGTCTCAGCAACTTAATGAGGCCCTATTCAATTTAGTGAGACCCTATCTCTCAATAAAACATAGAAAGGGCTGGGGATGGGGATCAGTGGTAAAGCGCCCCTGGGATCAATCCCCAGTACCAAAAAAAAAAAAAAAAAAAAAAAAAAAAGCATTTCTATAAGGTAGGGAGAATAGTATATTGAACCTTCACGTTCCATTCAACTTTAATAATTATTGACTCAGAGCCAATCTCAGTTCATCTCTCCCTCTACCCACTCCTCCTTCCTTATTGTCTTGAAGAAATTGCAGTCATCAAATCATTTTATTCACAAATGTTTTACTGGATCTATTTATATAGTTTGCCTGCCTAATGTAATAAAACATGAACATAATATTATAATCACAAAATAGTCTTTCCTCAATATCATCAAACATCCAGACAGTTTTGAATTTTTAATTGTTCCATGAATGTCATAAATTTAAAAAATACAGTTCATTGTAACTGAGCTCCAAATTCACTTATTGAGGATGGTGGATATGTATATTTATAATTTGAAGTCACAATTTTTTTAAAAATTATTTTTTAGTTGGACACAATACCTTTATTTAATTTATTTTTATGTGGTGTTGAGGATTGAACCCAGGGCCTTGCTTGTGCTAGGTGAGTGATCTACCACTGAGCCACAACCCCAGACCCTGAAGTCACAAGTTTTTCCATAACTTGACACTAGCAATTTCTCAACCTTAAAAGTCTCAACAGAAATGGATATGGAGGCATTGGTTGTTTGAAGTGACATCCAGTTGTTGAAAGTGAATGCAAAGGTAACCATTTTGGCACATCTTTGGTTGCTCCTATAAAGCCTCTGCAGGGCTCTCTTCCAAAGACATGGCTGCTGTTGATTGTCATATTTATTGCATAAAGTTGTGTCCCTTTCCTCAGGAAGGGATTGGGAGAGAGAATGCTTAAACAAAGACAGTACCCCAAGTTTTTTCACTGATTAGTCACATTAAAGAATTGCTCCCAAGCTGGGCATGGTGATGCATGACAGGGTGAGATCCTGTCTCAAAATGTAATACAAAGGGCTGTGAGGTAGCTCAGTGGCAGAGCACTCTTGGGTTCAGGCCAAGGTGACAGGATTGAACTTAACATGAAGTGACCAGAGAATTGTAGGCTCCTCAGATCAGCAGGAACCACAAGGCCTCTCCAGTATTGCAAAACAAAAACAACAAAAATTGCTCCCCAAAAGCATTCTTGGGCAATGGGGGACCCATCAGGGCTTCCTTAAAGCCAGGAGGGTCCAATGCCTAAAAGGCAGAACTGGGCTGAGCCTTCCTTGTATAACAGGTACGAGGATGAAATCAACAAGCGCACCGCTTTGGAGAATGAGTTTGTGGTGCTCAAGAAGGTGAGCAGGGAGTGGGGAACTGAGGAGGTGGTCCTTTGGCTGCCAGGGTGCTGGGTTGGCCCAGAGAGATGAGACCCCTGTCAATGGAGCATCTCCTTTGCTCTCTCCTATCCCCTCCCCTGCCAGGATGTGGATGCTTCGTATATGGGCCGAATGGATCTGCATGGCAAAGTGGACTCCTTGAACCAGGAGATTGACTTTCTCCAGGCTCTCTACGAAATGGTGAGGTGGCCAAAGGACAGGGAGGATTCGCTTACAGTGCTGGGGACTCCCAACGGAGATCAGAACTGAATTTACCAGTGCAACTTGTTAAAAGATGGGATGTTAATCCTTTAATTAGCGCTGCCTTCCATGCATGAAGTGCTCTCCATGGGCCAGGCACCTGTCAAGCCTCTTAGAGAATCCTCTCCACAACTTCCTAAAGTAGGTACTATTGTTGTCTCTGCTTCATAGTCAAGGACACAAAGAGTAACTTGTCCACAGTCACAGAGCTAGGATGAGGCAGTGTAAGGATTCAAACTTGACTTTGAACTCCAGAATCTGGCTCTCATCACACTGTTCAGTTGCCCTCTTCCTATCCAGTTTGTATTGGAGCAAAGGATGGAGGAGCAGAGATGGGCAGAGAGGAGGGAAAGGGTTCCAGATTGTGGTAGGAGATGAGGTGGGGGCAGTGGGTAGATCAAAGGATCCAAGTGGGGTCCCAGGAGACAGGGAGCCTTGGAGACTAAGGTGACAGGGTTGAATTTAACACAAAGTGGCCAGAGAATCGTAGGCTCCTCAGATCATCAGGGACCATAAGGCTAATCCTGGGTCCAGTGTAAGAACCTTCCTATGACCTCCCTGACAGGGGTCAGGTAGCTTCCCCTAGAACACTCCTAGTGCAGGGAGCTCACTGTTTTTGAGGGTAGGCATTGCCATTGTTGAGTGCTCTCTTAGAAACCTGACTTGCATCTTGTTCCCATTTCGTCTCTTGACTGGTCCTGACTCTGCCCTCTGGGCTACATGTATCCAGTTGTCTTCCATGTGACACTTGTCTTTCCCACAACAGTCTTTTAGTGGCCAGGATGATGAAGGAACAAAAAATCTGTGAGAAACTTCAGGAAACAGTTTTTTTTTTTTTTTTTTTTTGGTGGATTGAACCCGGGGGCTCTTTACCATGGAGCTATGCACCCCCAGCCCTAAAAAGAGAATAATAATAAAATAATAAAATAAAAGAATAATAAAATAGAAAACTATTTTGAGACAGAGTCTCCCTAAGTTGCCCAAGTTGGCTTTGAACTTGCAAACTTCCTGTTTCAGCCTCCTAAGCAGTAAGGATTATAGATATCTGCTATGGTGCTTTCCAGGAGACAGGATTCTAAATGAAGTAGTCAGAAAACAGAGGGGTGGGAGGGAGAACTGATGTCCATCCATGCAGCTTAATGCTGCCCCAGTTTGTGTATTCTTTATAGAAGCCCTCTTATCCCTGGACAACCCTTGGATTTTTTCACATGAATGTTTTCAAGGAAGACTGGCATCTATTCTTCTCCAACTTTCTGTATTTAGGGAGTTGAATTTTTGGAACAGAATGCAGGAGTTAATAATTTTCTTTCTTTCCTATGGTTTCATCTCATCATTTGAAGCCATGTGGGCATGGAGAATCTTGATTCCGCTCTCCACTATACTAGTAATGCCCTGCTCTGGGTCCTTTGTAGACTGGGTAAACTTTCAGTTTAGTTATTTGATCTAGATTTTTTTTTTCATGTGTGTGTTGCTGGGGATGGAATCCAGGCCCCCATGATGCTAAACAAGCGCTCCACCACAGCTACCTGCTAACCCAATTTAGTTATTTGAAAACTCCAGTGTAGCCAGGCACAGTGTAACTCCAGGGACTTGGGAGGCTGAGGCAAGAGGATCACAAGTTCAAAGCCAGTCTCAGCAGTTTAATGAGGCCCTAAGCAACTTAAGGAGACCCTTAAGGAGACCCAACTTAAGGGCAGGGTAGTGGGATTTAGGGCAATTGGTGGCAGCCCAGGCCAATGTAATCATGATCCAGTGACCAGGACACAGAGACCCTCAGCTCCCTATCATCTTCCCTCTCTGTCACCTTCACTGCTTGCATGTAATTGCAGATGGACCCTAGAAACTCAGGAAGGGCCCAAGAGTATCAGGACAGTCTGGAGTGATCAGAGGAAGCCATCTGGGCCTTAGATGCAGAAAGTGCGTTAGAGCAGAAAGTGTGTGTTCTCTTTCTCCTCTCTGATCTCTTGGTGGCCTGCAAATGTACAAAAATAAATGAAGGCTATAAAAATGGGAGCCCAGGTGACAAGCGGGGAGACCGAAGCCTCTTCCTGCAGTCATGGGTTCTTTATAGGGGGGTTCCTGGGGAAGCCTAGGGTGGCCCTCCTGATACCATGACTGTCCTTGTCCCCTGCTCCCCACCCCACCCTGGTAGTAGCTGTTTGTGTTTCTTCAGGAGCTGAGCCAAGTGCAGACCCACGTGTCTGACACCAATGTCGTCCTGTCCATGGACAACAACCGCAGCCTGGACCTGGACAGCATCATTGCCGAGGTCAAGGCCCAGTATGAGCTGATTGCCCAGAGGAGCCGGGCGGAGGCCGAGGCCTGGTACCAGACCAAGGTGAGAAGAACGGCTGGTCAGGGATTGGGCACAGACCTCCGATGGCCTGGGCCACTGGGACGTGGGAGCCCTGGGGACCAGGTATACTCAGCCTCCACAGGCCTCCACTGGCAGGTGGCTCTGGGGCCAGTGGTTACCCACGTGGTCCTGGTGCTCACTCTCTGATGCTCACTGCTGCTTCTTTGGGCTCTAGTACGAGGAGCTGCAGGTGACGGCGGGGAAGCATGGGGACAACCTGCGGGACACCAAGAACGAGATTGCGGAGCTTACCCGCACTATCCAGAGGCTGCAGAGTGAGGTGGATGCGGCCAAGAAGCAGGTGGGCCTCTCTCTGGGCCTTGTGGTCAGGCCAGGTGTTGGCAGGGCTGGAGGGCCTTCTTCCATGGTCACCCTGAGGGGCAAGGTCGGCTCTTCTTCTGATAGATGGGACGACTCAGATGCTGGACCATCACGGTCAATGTGTTCCACTTACAGGATAGGAAACTGGGGCCCAGAGACTTGGGGAAGGGGCTTGTCCAAGGTCACACAGCATATAAGTGGTAGAGCAGGTTGGCTACTTCCTCTAAGGAGATTGATCCATCCCATCTCTTGGAGGAGGCAGAAGGTTCCAGAATCCAGGTCACAGAGGCTAACCCCATCTAGGGTATGGCTAAAAAGCACGAATTCTTCTCTAGATCAGAAGGAAGACTTTGGCTAATAGTGAGATTGCATCATTTATTCTATCTCTTCTGAAGCACTGGTCTGAGCTGCAGCTGGAGGGATTGAAGTTAGAATTCAGTCAAGGCTTCCCAGTGCTGCCACATGATCCTGCTTTCTAATAATCCTTCTTTCAGAGGCATATTTCTCTTTCTGTTCTTTCCCCCTTGGTTGGGGCAGGGACTTGGGGAAGGTGACTCCTGACTTGAGGGCAGAGAGATGAATGGGATGACCCTAGAGGGTGTTCCCAACACCTCTCACCCCTGGGGCAGTGTCAGCAGCTGCAGGCGGCCATCGCCGAAGCGGAGCAGCGTGGGGAGATGGCGCTCAAGGATGCTAAGAAGAAGCTCGGGGATCTGGACACGGCCCTGCACCAGGCTAAGGAGGACCTGGCCCGGCTGCTGCGTGACTACCAGGCCCTCATGAACGTCAAACTGGCCCTGGATGTGGAGATCGCCACCTACCGCAAGCTGTTGGAGAGCGAGGAGAGCAGGTGGTGGCCCCTCTGCCCCACTGAGGGCTTCCTGTCCCTGTCCCCTGGGAGGAGGAAGCACCGGGAGGGGGTCCTGACTCACCTCGGGGACACTTCCCTCGCCTCATGGACTCCTTGCCTCTGCTGCTCATTTCCTGGGTGGTACAAACTTGATCCTTAATCTTGGGGGTGGCCGCAGCCAGGGAGAAAGGAAGCCAGTATAAACTTTGAAAAAAACCCCAAACCCCCACAAAACCACATCTCCCTCAGCATGATGTGGAGAGGAAGTGGGCAGAACTGGGGCGGCTCTGTGAGGCCAGGGACTTTGTCTCCCCTGGAGCTGGGATGCCATCCATGGTCCTGGGGTGGGGGAGGCAGGTGTGTGTGGGGGCGTGGCCAGAGGATGTGCTGGTAGGGCCATTGGTCCCAGAGGACTGGTTTAGGACATGATGGGAGGCCCATGGGTCCCAGGCCAGCTGCATGCACACACTTATGTCTCCTGGTCTTGTTACTGTCACCTGATCTTGGCCCTGATCCAGTCTAATGTAATCTAATGCGGGTTTTCTCCCGGGTTCCTGGGGTCACTGACCCCTCTCCTGGCCTTTCTGCTTCCCTAGGATGTCTGGAGAATGTCCCAGCGCTGTCAGCATTTGTGAGTATTTGCTGCTCCGTTCCTGCCCCACCCCTGGCCTGGCCCCAGAACACTCTGTCCATTCAACCTGAACCTGCCCTAAAGTGTGCTCTCCTTCAGAGCTTCCCAGAGAGCGAGCTCCCTGTGCTGGGCTCCCCTCCCCAGTTCCCATGGGAAATTTCCCATGTTCCAGTCCTTCGATGATCTTCTGCCCCCCCTGCCCCGCCCCACCCTGCCAGCCCTTTCCTGGCACTGCCTCTGGCCTAATCCAGACCCTTTGCCTTGCAGCTGTGACTGGCAACTCCACCACCATGGTTGGAGGCAGTGCGGCTGGCTTTGGGGGTGGCGTCTCCCTAGGTGGGAGCGGGGCTGGCTTCAAGGCTGGATTCAGCACGAACGTGGGCTACGGCAATGTCAAAGGCGGGGCCGGCTCTGGGGGCACCTCCATCCTGCGGAAGACCACCACGGTCAAGACGTCCAGCAGGAGGTACTAGCCGCTGAGACAGGCATGCCGGGGGCCCTGCAGTCCTCTCGCTGCCCCATCCCCATCCCTGCTATCCTCTCCAACCTTCTCAGGAACAGCCCTGGGGACCACAGACCCAGTGTATTTTCACACCACACTATTTGGGTACGATTTGTATTGGGGGAAGGGCTCAAATCTATCCAGTTTTTCTCCTGGGAGGTGCTGTGGGTTGGGTGGTTAAGGTCCTCATCTTGAGCAGCATGGTCGAGTGATCTGATGGTGACCACTGAGAGGAGACTGGGTGTCCCAGGCCACCTCTGTCTCGCTCACCACCTCTGCCTTTCTGCTGGGAATCCAGGGCCAGCGGGGGAGGAAGGGGGAAGTGAAGAGTGGTTCCCCCAAATCCTCCAAACTCCCCAGTCACCCACCCCCTCCTCCACTGCGTACCCGGTCTGTGCCTGTGATATGTCTCAATAAACTTCAACTCCAGTCAGCGGTTGTGGCTGCAGTCTGTCCTGCCTGGGAAGTGAGTCATGTCAATAAGCACCGGATGGTTGACCACCACACACTCACTATGTCCCGGTCACCTTGAGGGCCAAAGTGTATTTGCTCTATGCTGCCGCTCCCCCAGGGCCTGTGTGTAGCTGTGGGAGGACCCTGAGGCTCTGAGGGAGGATGGAAGTTGCTGAAGGCCTGACCCAGCTGCTGGGCGGCTGCCTGTCACTCAGCATGCCCCCTGGTGCTCATTCAGCCCTTCACTTCTCTGAGGGGCAGGCAGCGTGATTTGTTCAGTGCAGAGATCCTGGGCTTCAGAACTAGGCAGACTCAGGTTAAATTCCAGTTCTGCCACTTACTAGCTATGCAACATTGGGCAAGTCGATCAACCACTCTGAGCCTTAGTTGCCTCCTTTGTAAAATCAGGATTGTGAGGAAAACATGAGTTAAGCATACTTCCCTTCTCCTTGACTTCTGGATTCCCACCTTCTTGGAGTGAGATGGTTTCTCTCTCAGCCCCCGTATTCAGTCATCCGTGCCAATGCACGTTCAATTGGATTTTATGGTTTACAAATACATTATTTCACCTCAGAATTCGATGGGGGGTATGTGATCCCCTATTTTACAGATGAGGCAATTGAGGCTCAATGATCATCAGAATGAACCCTCAAGCCCACTGCCACTGAGCTGGTCTAATGTGAAGACAGCTGTTGGGGGTGGGTCCGAGGCCCTGGGGGTGCCATTTCCAGCCTTCAGTCCTTCCTCCCCTGAAGCCACCTCCGTTCTGCCCCTGCCTCTGCCTCTCACCAGACTCCTCCCACCCCCTCAGCTCCAGAGCTCTCTGCCCCAGCGGGACCCCCTCTTCCATCTATGCTCCTGCAGTTCCCGCAGGCTGCCTGCTCAGCCTGGCCTCCGGGCCCCAGTGCTGCCACCAGCTCCTTCCTGTCCCGTGTGCAGGCTGCGCTGGGCCCTCCCGCCTGCCTGGAGAGTGCCTGGCTGTCGCTGGATCTTGGACATGGGGCCCTCCTCAGAGGAGTCTGGGGAGCTGGTACAAGTTTCTGCCGGGCAAGGGGTGCCAGCAGAGGGGTTCTGGCCGGAACCCTCAGCATGGCTTAGAACACAAGGGCGAGCAGTGGAAGAGTCTGCTTCCCTCACCCGGGTGCTCCTGAGTTTGGGAGTCAGCCACACTCGCAGGATGACCCATCTCTTCTCAGGGGTGCAGACCGCTCTGATGTGCACGCTTTAGTGATAAGAGCTAAAGTTTTCTGAGTGCCTACTGGGTGCTGCTAAGCCTCAAACAGACTCAATCTTCCCAATAACCTCTGATAGACGCACTGTTATCATCCCCATTGGCAGATGAGAAAGAAAAGGCACAGAGTGGTTAAGTAATTTGTTGAGGATCACACAGCTAGTAAGTAGCAGAGCTGGGTGTGGAATCCAAGCGATCTGGTTGCATAGTCCAAGCTGTTAACCACTGGTTGATGCTACTTGTTCAGAAAAGGAAACGGAGAAGCAGGGGGTACTGGAGCTAGAGAAAGTGCTAAATATAATCTTGTCTAAACGTGTCATCTCGTAGGTGAGAAGATGGGCTGAGAGAGGGAAGAGCCTGTCTAAAAGCCACCATAAACCAATACCAAAGTGAAAAAAAACTTTATTGAATTTAAAATTAGGGTTTAGAAATAGAACAATGGTCAGTTTTAATGAGAAACATTAAGTTAAATAAAATTCAGCCGTTACATTGCCACCCGGGAGCTCCGATCCACATCATATTACTCAGAAATCCTTGCTGAGGTTTTCATACAGAGTTCCTGGGACCTGGGGACCCCAGGGGTACTCTAGGGGGCCCGGAGGATAGCAGGCTGCAGGGAGCTTGGGTCCCTCCTCTAACCTCTGCTTTCCCTGTGTTACTTTGTTGCAAGAGTAATTTCTCTGCCAGAAGTTGGGGAGCCCTTGCTGGCACATGCCCAGGGAAGAGACCAAGCGGGCAGCTCTGCAGCCCTGGGGAAGAGGGCCCTGGGCCAGACCCCTCCCCTGTTCTAAGTCCCTGCCCTCTTCTTGCCCTCGCGGCCTCTTCCTGAAATGCTGACGGCCCTTCTCTGCAGAATCTCTGATCCCCTTGTTGGCTGCTGCTCCCCGAGAGTGACTCAGAACGTCAAGGCTGGGTGGCAGAGTGGGGCACGGCATGGACCTGGCCAGCGAGGGCGGGAGCATTTTCTCACACGGTGCACTGGGTTTGGGGCAACAGTGACAGAGGGCCTCAGGATCCGTAATCCCAGGGCTCACCCCGAAAGCCCTAGGCGGGCACACCCTCCCGCCCTGCTCCCGCCCCATGTCAAGATCAGGAACAGCTGCCAGAGGAAGGAGGGTCACCGAGGGCACCAGTAAAAGCTGTGTGGGGGACTGGGGAGTGGGGAGGGGGCCCAGCTCTCAGCTGTTACTGCCAGGGAGAACCTCACTCCATTGGCCAACTCCAGCTAGATGGGAAGGAGACAGCAGTCCCGGAAGGAGAAACTCTTCTCTCTTCTTCTCTTACCATAGGGTGAAATGCTCTTTTGGTTGAAAAGTTCTTCTTTATGTCTACCTTTAGTTTCTTATGCTACAGTTCAAGGATTTTGTGAACTTCTGGCAATTCTGATTTAATAAAAGGCCACAGGTATGACGCTACACTAGGACTTTCTGATTGATTTGGGTTTATGATAAATTTAGATTTAATTAATTGGAGGACACAGGGTTAGCCTCTCAGGACAGTGTTGTCAAGTACCCCTAAGAACTGGGCCACATAAAGCAAGCAACCAATCATGTGACAAGAGTAAGGACAGAAAGGAGCTGAACCATGTCCCTGGGACACATAACCTATTGGCAAGATCCTATTCTGTAATGGTGGACCTGTAAGGCAGGGTCACCATGTAAAACACTGCAGTCTAGAAGTGAAGATCACAAGCTCTGAAGCCAGACGAATGAATGGGACTGTGTGATTTCGACAAGTTACATAGCCTCTCTGAGCTTCAGTGGCTGGAGCTCTAAACTGGGCATAGCAACACCACATTAATAGGGTTGTTGTGAGGAATGAGCACCTAGTGTTCACAAATAATGGCAGTTCTAAGGAAGTCCCTTCTACTTGAAAAGCACCATTTTTAAGATAAAAAAGTTATCCTACTTTTTGTCCTAGGGATGGCATATGCTTCCAGTTACCCCCAGAAAGTCCTCAGTGGAGTTTGCAGTTTGCGGCCCCACAGGCACAAAATAACATCCATCACTTTACATCTGGTTCCCCTGGAAGTGTCCTCCAGTCTTGTTTGGTTTTTGCTTGGGGATCTGGATGCAGCCCTAGGCTTGCTGTGCCTGCATCTTCTCCCCCTAGTGTTAGAGGGCTACAAGACCCAGGGGACATGAGCCACTGGGGGCTTCGTGTCTGGTGATACAAACATCCACCAAGTTCATGAAAGTCTCCATCAAACCCTTGGGGGCAGCAGAGAGTAGAGCGGTTGGTGGAGGCATAGAGATGGAGACGAGGTGGTGGGCACGGGGCTCCAGGCCCACATGTGGGGGACAGCCCACCTCCCCTTGGGGGCAGGGACCAGTTAATTAGACTCAGTTCCCTGATGGGGGACTCCCAGGGAGCAGAACTCCCTGCTCCCAGGGGAGACGGGTGGACATCCCCAGGGGATCCTCACTGGGAGGCCAGTGCCCTCCAGCCCTTTTGCTCCTGAGTAGCAGGCTCAGTCAGGTTTGCTCGGGTGCTCGCTTCTGGACTGGCTGGTTCACAAAATGCACAAAATGGACATACTCACTTCATACCAGGCAGAGAGGCCTGGAGCCCGGAGTCTTTGAGACCAGTCTGATGTGGGTTCAAGTCACGGCTCTACCACATGCTGTGCAAATCTGGGAGCTCTTTGGCCTCTCTGAGTGTCCAAGTCATCGAGTGTAACAGAGCCAGTGAGGCCAGCTGCAGAGAGCCTCCAAGGAGACTACTTGTCCAGTGTATGTGAAGCATCCTGCATCACGCCTGGCACAAACTTGGTGCTCAATAAATACTGGTTGAAAGAAAGAGCGAATGTCCAGTCTCTTCCCTTGTAGGAGACAGGCCTGTCTAGAAGGTACCCTGCTGCCAGTGGACTGGCCACTGTTCCAGCCTTCCCTTGTAGATGGTTGCGTGGGGCCTGGGCCTCCAGGACTCACAGCCCCAGCACCTCTGCCGGTTCCATTTGCTTAGAGGCCTCCTGGACAGTGGCTGGGCAAGGGGAGAGGGACTGGGGTAGGGAGAAGGGAGAGAAGAGATGGCTGAACCCTGGGCAGCCTGGCCTTCCCTGCAGCCCTGGGAATTTCTGACCACCTTCTGCCACCTCAGGGCTCTGCCCTCCCTGTGTCGACGAGGGAGTCTTCACTCCTGCTGCCATTAGGCCAGGGCCAGCTCCAGCCTGTGGACTCACGTAGACATGGGTCACTGCTGCTCCTCAGATTTGGGGTCATTTCCCCCACGAGGGGCTGAGGAGCAGAGGGGGAACTCACGTGCATCTAACTTTTTCTCATGAGCGTTAATGACAAAGCCTGGTCAGGAAGAGAATGAGCGTCTGCTAACCTAGGGGCTGGCACTGGGGGCAAATTATCTCATTACCTGTGAGGCAGGTGTCCTGTTCGATAGATGAGAAGATGAGTTGGATGTGTTTAGGGGATAAGTGACCTGCCTGACGCTGCAGAACTAATCAGTGGCAACGGGTGGCATCTGAACACAGATCCGTTGTAGAATATAAGGGTTTGAAGCTAGAATTTTACACATGAACAGGTGGGTTTCTGCAGAATGGTGTTCTGCAGAAGGTTCCTAGCACCAAAAAAATGTTATGAATTCCTGTCCTGAACACTGGGATCATTCCAGAATGTGCCCTGTTCTGGTAGAGCCCAGCAAAGCTTAGAGTGGCCAGCAAAGGGAGCAGCAGGTGCACACTGTCCAGGGCACTGGAGCGCCACCCTGCTCCCACCACAGAAGCACAGGGGTCCCCAGGGCTGGAGGGGGAGGGCCCCAGGTCTACCTTTCCCTCTCTCCACTCGGTACCTGGCTCTGCTTGGATCTGAAGGGCACCAGGGAAGGCTTTTCCTTTTGAATGTGACATGGGGCCAGACACACGTGGAAGAATAAAAATGACAATGGTGACAAGTGTCTGTTCAGCTCCTCACAGCTTCCGAAGCACTTGGTTCACCACGATCTCATCTGCTCTGAAGAGTGACGAAGCTCAAATATTTGCATTATTTCCAACTTTTAGGCTAAGCACCTGAGCCTCAGAGGGTGGCTTGCTCAAGGAGTGCTGAACTGGTGGGCGGCAGGCTGTGCACTTGAGCCCAGGCTCCTGGGGTGGGACAGAATGCCTGGCCTGGAGCACTAAGCCTCCGTGGTGCTGGGAGATGGAAGGCCGGTCGGTTGGGGGAGGCTGCAGGGCTGGGCCTGGGCAAGGCCTTGATCCAGCAGGCCTTAGGGCCCAGTTCAGGTTCTCTTAGAGGGGAATGGGATGGGATCCAAGGACCTGTGCCCTCCGAATGACTTTTGTAGGTGTGTTTAGTGACATGCTGAGCAGGTGTGAGAGGATGGGCCTGTGCCAAAGGCCACGCCCAGAGATGTTTTGGATTTTTCCCTTTATGCCCCTGCAACCAAGCCCTGCTGCTCCAGCCCATATAAGAGACGGAGGCTGAGGACTGCAGCACACACGGCCTGGCCCCTCTCTCCTCTGTCTCATAGCTCCAAGCTTGTCCTGCTTCCTCAGCCATGATCGCCAAACAGCAGTGTGTCCGGGGCGGGTCCCAGGGCTTCAGCTGTGGCTCAGCCATTGTTGGTGGGGGCAAGAGAGTTGCCTTCAGCTCTGGCTCCGTGTCTGGAGGTGCAGGCCGCTGCTCCTCTGGGGGCTTCGGCAGCAGGAGCCTCTACAACCTTGGCGGCCACAAGAGCATCTCTCTCAGTGTGGCCGGGTCTCGCCAAGGTGCCGGGGGCTTTGGTGCTGGTGGCTTTGGTGCTGGTGGCTTTGGTGCTGGTGGCTTTGGAAGTGGATTTGGTTGGGGTGGTTCTGGCCTCGCTGCCTGCCCTGCTGGGGGGATTCAGGAGGTCACCATCAACCAGAGCTTGCTGACCCCACTCCACGTGGAGATAGATCCCGAGATCCAGAAAGTGCGCACTGAGGAGCGCGAGCAGATCAAGACCCTCAACAACAAGTTCGCTTCCTTCATCGACAAGGTGCGTGACTGGTGTCCTGGACAGAGAGAGGCAGTGAGTGGAAGGAACCCCGAATTGGAGCTCCTTGTAGGCAAAGGGATAGCAACTGAGTTTTTCTGGGCCTCAGTTTTCAGCGATGAAGGGGAGACAGATGGTACTTTGAGTCTGTGGTATGAGAGGGCAGACGAGCTGTGTGCTACCAGGCAAATCACTTGGCTTTTCTGATTCTAGTCACACTAGCTATCAAGTGGGCTCATTATTTCCTAGCTTTTCTGTCAGGTTTTGGTTTTGGAAAAAAAACAGTTAATTTCAGTAGTTTAACGACTGGCACTCCTGTTCTGGGAGCTGAAGAAAACCAAGCTGGTTCTGCACATAACAACTTGCTGACTTCCATGGAAGATTCTAGGCCACAGCAGGATCTTGGGAGGTTATCTCGTTTCTTCTCACTGTAGGCTCGACTGTCTGTTTGAAGAGGAGCTGGGTATCTCTTTTCTTTTTGTTGCCCAACTTCCTCTTCATGAGCATTTGGAGAGCCAAGTCCTTAAAGCTCAATCCCAGCCTAGTATGGTAGGTTATGGTGATCGGGTCATCTCAGAGAGCTGAGTCACCTGAGATTGATGACCAGGTAGACAAGTGTAAACACCTTGGTCTCGGCTGTCCTGGGTCATGGCGTATCAAAGTCTTAGGCCTCTTAGATGTTTGGGCAAGAACGAATCTTCCTGGTGCAGGCTGAATGCGTGCATTTACTTCTCTTGCTAGTTTGAATAAACCCGCGGTAACTTAAGGAGGCTTCATTGTGACTCTAGGACACAGAGACATGAAAGCAAGAATAAGAGTTCTTTGGGGGCTTCTCCGTCTCATCTCCCCCTTTCGGCCCAGGTGGTGATCAATCTTCTTTACCTGTTTTCCTTTTATTCTGAAGCCCATAGATGGAGAGGTCACACTCAGCTGCTTCTTTGGCCTATCAGGCTACATCTTTTCCTAGAGAGGAAAGTCCAGGGATGTCCCTGGCAGGATGGAGTCTAGCTGAGATTCAGAACAGGAGTAGGATGTTGCTCACAGATAGCCATACTGTCATACACAGGTTGTTCATGGAGACACACAGATCTATTGATAAGAAGGCTTATTTTAAAAGTATTTAGTGAACTCTTTGCCTTGGGTCAGGGTCACTTGAATGCAAGAGCCTTAGATCACGGTTGTATCCCCTCATTTTATTTAATTATTTCATAGAAGCTCCCTGCTTCTCTGGTGGGTCATCTGGGGCCTTTCAGTGCCGGTGCTTAGGAAGCTGGCCCTGCTGCTCTGGCCATACATACTCTGTTCTCCACAGCCCTGGGCAGCAGGGATACCATGTTGACCCTAGTGAATGAGCCCTGGAGTTGCAATGTGGTAGCTCTACTTGGGTGACTCTTGAGCTATGTGGTTGCCTTAGATTGACTGGGTTGGCGTTGGCCTTGGTTGGCCTCCTTAGTCAAAGGTTCGATCCTTCTACCTCATCAGTGGTCTGGTGCCCTCTTCAAACAGGTGCGGTTCTTAGAACAACAGAATAAGGTCCTGGTGACCAAATGGAACCTCCTGCAGCAGCAGACGACCACCACATCCAGCAAAAACCTCGATCCCTTCTTTGAGACGTACATCAATGCCCTCAGGAAGCAGCTGGATACCTTGGTCAATGACAAAGGGCGCCTGCAGTCGGAGCTGAAGGTCATGCAGGACAGTGTGGAGGACTTCAAGACCAAGTATGTGGGGAGGAAGGAAGGGACCATCTGATGCATCTGCCTGGCCATGGCCCAGGTTCCTTGGGCTCCTCTCCAGTGGTTTAGAACCTCAGGATCTGAAGAGATCCCAACGGGCCAGGAAGGTCCTTTAGACAGTGTCCCTGTATCCACATGATTACATTTTCATAGGGTGAGGTCTAGTTACTTCAAGTTGCCCCACAGTCAGAAGCAAAGAGATTGTAGAGACAGATGGAGCTGATTTGAATACTACCCCCTCACTTAACTAGCTATGTGACTTTGGATAAGTTGCTTAACTTCTCTGAGCTTCAGTTTTCTTAAGCCTCAATGGGGATGATATCCTTTACTTTTTAAAATGGAGATTCTATTCCTACTTTATGGGTTATAAGAATTCAATGAAATTAATTGAGAGAAAATATATGTAGCATAGCACTAGACATAAAATGAAGACCCACACCCTCTCTCTCAATTCCCTCACATCCAAAATAGAGGAACTGAAGTGTTGGCAACATTCTTGAGAATTTAATCTGCCAAAATGGCCCAAAGGACAGTTCCTTCCATGGAAACAGCATTGATTAGTTTCTTGCAGATGTTTCACCTCACATGTTAACTCTTGAAAATCGTCTTTGTAAAATTTGGTTTTTATGTCTCTGAACACACCAGGGCCTAGACTGTTACTCAATAAATGTACATTGAGTGGCTATTTGTGCACATGGGAAATGCAGCTAATTACCTGGATATTTCCAAACAGATGTTTGCAAACAAGCAGCAGAGACACTTGCTCACTGTGGGCTTTTGTCTTTTCCTTCCTGTCCCCACCCCTAGGTATGAAGATGAGATCAACAAACGCACAACGGCAGAGAATGACTTCGTGGTCCTCAAGAAGGTGGGGCATGAAAGATGGTGGGGACGTGCTTTTAGGGAACCCCTCCCCATTGGTGACGGTCCTCAGCTGGCCATGAACCCACGGCCCATCTCTGCTCATCTCCACCTCACTTGGTACTATCTACATCTGTGCAGCTGAAGGAAGCAGATAAGGGAACCAAGTTTCCAGGAATGAAGCTTGGGAGGAAAGCCTGTGTAGACAATTAAGTTCCATGTCTTCAGGTAGCTTTAGGGACAGAATCTAGTGAATAATTTGTCCCTGGCCACCTCACCTGGCATTGTGTAGATTTTCCTAAATGCAACTGAAAACACTTGCAGGTGTTGATTAATACCTTGTCCCCATGATAATTCCTGCTCCTCCTCTCTCCTCCTGTTTCCCCTGCAGGATGTGGACGCTGCCTACATGACCAAGGTGGAGCTGGAGGCCAAGGTGGACGGCCTGAATGATGAGATCAACTTCCTGAGGGTCCTCTACGATGCGGTGAGGACTCCTTCCACTCTCCATTCACGGAAAGGGCTCCTCCACCATCTCTGAGGCTGCTGGTTGGGATTCAGTGCTTAGAAGAGACTCTGGTTCTCTTCCTTCAGGGCAGAGGCTTCTCAGCAGGGTCATGGATGAAAGGGTTGGAACCAAGTGAAGGATTCAAGTGAGAGCTTCTCAAAACCAGATGTTGTCTTAGAAGAAGTGATTATAGCTGAAGTTTGTGTGGGATGGAATTTATTACTGTCTGCCATTTTTCTGGTGAAATGAATCCATTCCATTCCCTTCCATCTAACACATGGAACACCTGTTGCTTTGGACGGGGAGTGCCATAGTTCCCAGTGAGCAGTAAAGATTAGAAGCATTGCTTTTCCTCTCCTGTGATGTCACCAAATATTTGATTTCTACTTAAAAATGTATCTTCTTTCCACTCCCTACACATTGGGAATGCCAACCCCACTTGCATTTGAACCTGCAACCCAGAGGCTTGCCTCAGAGCTCAGGAGGAGACCTCCTGGGGTGCTGACTGGAGACATTTGCTTTGCAGGAGCTGTCCCAGATCCAGAGCCATGTCAGTGACACGTCTGTGGTCCTCTCCATGGACAACAACCGCAACCTGGACCTGGACAGCATCATTGCCGAGGTCCGCGCCCAGTATGAGGAGATTGCCCAGAGGAGCAAGGCTGAGGCCGAGGCCCTGTACCAGATCAAGGTGGGTGGTAGGATGTCTCAGGAGATGGGGTGACTTTAGGACTCTGCTCTTAATGTCAGGTGCTCATCCACTTGATCCCAAGAGCATCCAGAGATGGGTAGATTCTCCCAGGCATCATTGATCCTGTTCTGCTTGGGAACACTTGACATTTTGGGCTATCCCTGTCACCTGTGGCTACTTTCACTGGACCCTACCCAAATACTCTTGACCCGTGATTCCCTGTGTATCCTCGGGTATTAGGTCCAGCAGCTCCAGAACTCAGTTGATCAACATGGTGACAACCTGAAAAACACCAAGAACGAGATCTCAGAGCTCAACAGGATGATCCAGAGGCTGCGGGCAGAGATTGAGAACATCAAGAAGCAGGTGGGTGTCACCTTCTCCTAGCTGAAGTGCAAGGTAGATGCCCTGGGGTGGATAAGCAGGTAAAGCATGAGGTCAGAAGACCCTGAGCCTATCTACATGGCATTTCTAGCTCATTATAGAAGCCACACCTGGATCTTCTGAGCAATATCCTAGTTGACATGAGATGCTGCCCCAGTACACAGGTTTCCTGGCTCTTCACTTTTTTTTTTTTTCTGTCTATCTTATCAGTCTGATGGGGGCAGTGGTGGGCCCTCGCTGGAATGAATGAAATTCTTAAGGGTCAGGCAAGATGGGAAGAGGGACAATTGGAATCCTGACATCCTAACCCAAGGAAAACTGGCCCAAGAGAAGGGCCAGGTATAAAGATCTTGAAAACAGGGCATTGATGCTGCCTGTCCAATGTCCTTGTCCACAGTGCCAGACTCTGCAGGCGTCTGTGGCGGACGCAGAGCAGCGTGGGGAGCTGGCGCTCAAAGATGCCCACACCAAGCGCACAGAGCTGGAGGCTGCCCTGCAGAAGGCCAAGGAGGAGCTGGCCCGGATGTTGCGCGAGTACCAGGAGCTCCTGAGCGTGAAGCTGGCCCTGGATATTGAGATTGCCACCTACTGCAAGCTGCTGGAGGGCGAGGAGTGCAGGTGAAGCAGGAAGGCAGGGTGGTGACGTGAGGGACAGAGAGGCCCTGGGCTGTGAGTTGGGGCCTCTGCAGGGCTGCTTGCTTCAATGCTGTGCTGGTGCATTAAGAACCAGGATGGAGGGGCTGCAGTTATGGCTCAGTGGTAGAGCACTTGCCTAGTGTGTGTGAGGCACTGGGTTCGATTCTCAGCATCACAAATAAATAAATGAATAAAATAAAGGTCCACCAATATCTAAAAAAGTATTAAAAAAAAAAAAAAAGAACCAGGATGGTGTAGATAATAGGTTCACACTTGGCCTTTAGAATCTTGTTCTTTAAGGACAGTGCATGAGACCTGCTTATTGAACAAATTGTGGTTCTGGGCTCGCTGAGATTCACGGCTCTTTCCCTCCAACAGGATGTCTGGAGAGTGCCAGAGTGCCGTGAGCATCTGTAAGTACCTCCTGCCCCTTCTTGTTATTTGTTCACCCAGATCTGGGTGGAGGGCTCTGGGCACTATGGGAACAACTGTGTCCCTTGTCTTTCTCGTAGCGGTGGTCGGTGGTAGCTCCAGTATTGGAGGCATCAGTGGAGGATTCGGCGGAAGCTGCTCTGGAATTAGCCTGGGGAGTGGTTTTGGCTCCTGCTCTGGAGGTGGCTTTGGGTTTGGCGGCGGTGTCTGCGGTAGTTCCGGCAGCAAGATCATCTCTACCACCACCCTGGGCAAGAAACCCCGATAAGAGGAGACAAGGTCCTTGCTGGCAACCAAATGCCACCTGGCCCAGGCCTGCGGTCCCTGTGCTTCCTTTACTTCATCTCCACCTTCCCTTTCTGGTGTTCACCCTGATGCTGTCACCTCGACTCTCCTCTGGGATCTCTGCTCCAGGACCACCTTGTCTGGAATGTGGACTCTGCCCTCTTGGAGTTCGGTAGCTTCTTTTTGACTTGGGCCTGGTGACTCACCTCCAGTGGAGGGGGTCTCAGCTTTCACCTCCCATGGACAGAGGAGAAAATGACCAGGAGCTCCCTCTCCAGAATTGTCAGGGCCACACATTTCTTCCCAGCTCAACACTGTTGCCCACCCGATTCTGGATATCCAGCCACAAGAGAACCAAACTCACTCTCCATCACCCGGTAGCAACGGGCTCTGCAAGGTTAAGACAAGAACTGCTCGGGTCCCATTCAACTCTTCTCATTCTTAACTATCTGCAGGTGAATCTTCAATAAAATGCTTTTGTCATTCAGTCTGAGCCATTGTGTTTGTTCCCTCGGGAGTAGTCTCTGGAATCTTGAACGTCTATTAACTGGGTGAAAGTGGACACTGGGGGGTCTGAAGGGTCTGTTTATATGGATCAAAGTCATCCACTAGTCTTTCAGGTCTCTATTTGTAAGTTGCACAGATTACCGAGGTCAGAAGTGCAGTGTCTGGAGCCTGTGGGCAGGTGTGCAGATCCAAGAGATAACCAACAATTATAGAGAGGAGGCCCATCAGAGGGCAGCCCAAGGCAGCACCTTCTCAATTCTGAGTCTGGAGTGAGCCTGGAGGGAAGGAGTCTAGGTCTGGAGGTGTGGGGCCTCTTGCAGGTGTGAGGAGAGGTGCCGGGGCGGTGGCTTTGCTGAATGCAGAACAGAGGATGTGGAGCTTAGGAAGGGAACCTACACTCAGGGCTAGCAAGGCCTCTCTATTTTTACAAAACTCCATGCATGGAGCTCAAAGCCCTGGAACAACAGGGCTTTCAGGAACTGTTCTAAGAACCCACGAGATCACTGTGGTTGGATGGGGGAGTACAAGCCTGCTGTTCTCCCAGAGCTTTAACGCTTTCCTCTCTTCCCGGCCTCCCCAGGAGCTTGGGTCACTCTGGGGTTGCTATGGGAGAACATGGAACATGGAGTTGAGGCAGCTCTTCTGGAGCGGTAGAGGAGGCATCTTCCTGGTTGGGGCAGCCCTGGAGATTCTGGCTGTTGCAATCCTGAGGTGGGGAGAGGACAGTTAGGGGGAGGATTTGGGTGCAGCTCTTGAGAACACCCTGTTTCTGTCCTGGACTAATTCCAGCTTCCTGGAGCTGCACAATCTCCCCTTTTCCAGAGGACTGCAGTTCCTCCAAGTGCAGTCTGACCTAAATCCCTCCTGCTGCAGGCGCAGGCTATGCTTTCTTGGTCACCAGTTGGTGCTTCCCTTTTTGTCTACGGGGAGTTCATGCTGACTCCAATCCCTCCAGTGCAGTGCTCTTGGGGGCCCAACTATGCAGATGAGAGGGCGCATGAATTGCCCAGGCCAGTGCCTGCCTATGGGGTCTCCTAGGAAATCAGGTGCTGAGCAGCCAAAAGCAGCCAAGGGTTAATCTGAGGAGCTTGGGCAGGGGCTGTTTGCCAAGAGAAACCAAGAGGAACCGCTCCCTCCGTCGGCCAGATGGCTCCATCCTTCAAGAGCCCAGCCCTAATCTCTCCATTGTCTCCCCAGCTCACTGCCCCATGTGTCAGAACAGGAAGTGTTTGCAGCCCTTGCAGCCAGTCCGGCAGCTTTGACCGGGTCCCCACTGCGCCCCTTCCCTGGGAAAATGCCTCATTGGCTCCTTTTTGAGTTTCTGGGGTGGAGAGGAGAGTTCAGGCCTGGAGGCAGGAATGGGGCTTCCCAAGGTCACCTGCTGGAGGCTGTGATGGGCCACAAGTCTCCTGCCTCCTGAGCAAGGGGAGTGTGGAAGTGGCCAGGCCCTGGGGCTCTGTGACAGGTGTCTTAGACCTCTGCTGGACATGAAAGAGGAAAAACAGTCACATTGGCCTCTATTTCCTGAGGGGTCCAGGGGAGTGGATCCCCGCTAGTACCCACGGGTTTGGAGCTGGTTGGTCAGTTGAGGGGATTATTGGAGTTTTTTGGGGAAATGCATTGCTGAGATCATAGGGGTACCCCTTCTCTCAGATCCTTTGAACTGGATTCTGGCTAGTTCTTTGTGTTCTGGGGAGACATAGGGTGCACCACCTGCTTTTTGGAAGCCCCATGGCTCCCTCGCCTTTGAAATCTTTCCCTCTGGCTATACTGAAATTACTTTTCCCAACTAAAGGGCCCAGCTGTGGGTTGGTGCATCTTTCATTCATTATATTCGGTTCTTCCTCCCAGATCTGCACTCCCCAGGGTCTTGGCTTTGGGCCCTGGCTATAGCCCCACCTTCTATGTGGCCTAGGTCCCTCTGGCTTCTAAGCAACTATTACACCTGCACAGGTCTCCCCATCACCAAGACCCTCTGTGCCGAGTTAAGTCCTTTCAGTTCTAGAAGATTCTTGCTAACACTTCTGAAATCTCCCTCCCTTGCTGCTGGTCAAATCAGAAGAACATAGCAAAGGGAGATTTATTTAGTGATGTCTCACTGTAGGATTTTGGGTTAGTTCACTATTGGGATCGAGACTTTGGGTTCTAAGATGAGAGGACCTCAGAGTAAGGCACGGCTACTATCATGACTTGGATGGATGTCGGGGTTGAGTGCACCAGCTATGTAGGGAAGCAAACGAGTGACCTGTGCCCTTTTGTGTCTTCTAAGGATATGGTAGTGGGCCAGTCCATGGACAAAGGGAAAGACCAGGCTGAGGGGAAGAAGCCATTTTAGCATCGGTTCCTGTTTTTTGTTTTTTTTTTGCCAAATTGAACAGTTGTCCCTTTATCCCGTGGAGAGAAGGCTGGAGTGTAAAGTGTGGCCATGAAGAGTCCCGGTGGTGGGAGTCTCTGGACCAGGGCGCACTGCCATTGCTTCCCATGGTTTCCTGGTTGGCTTAGGTCAAGGCAAGACAGTTGTTATGCATTTTTTTTTCTTTTTAAGTGTTACAGATTTGCTTCTCAAAAATGGAAGGAGAAGTTTGTTGAGATGCTAGGTAAGCTAGGAAGAGGTTTTCTGGAGAAAGGGTTTTGATTTTCAGTTGCCAGTGACCCATCTCTATTATTGACCCACCTGTTCATTCACTTACAAAACAAACCACCTGCCTATGGATTCTGTAAGGGCAGAGGCCATGGCGCTATTCATCTTGATATTCCAGCGCCACTGTGCTTGCCTTAGAGTAGCTGTTTAATGGATGTTGATTAAATGAATGAATAAATATTCACTGAGTGCCTGGTCTGTGCTGGGTGATAGGGACCCGCGAAGAATCAACAGCTATATCTGCTTTTGAGGGGCTTTCAATACGGATAGTCATGACTAGATGCGAATGATTAGAAGCAGACAGGCAGATGAAGGCCACTGGGAGTTATAAACAAAGGCCTTGGCAGTCCGGAGGAGGGTGTAATTACTTTTGGTCTTGGGTGAGGGTAGGAGGTGACATTTAAGCAGAACAGGGAGGACCTGGGTGCTAGAGGTGCAGCAAGTATTCTCCTAATAGACAGCAGGACTCTGATCTTCTCTAAGAGCAAGACCTTTCTTCCAGGAAGTCTTCCAGGACTTCCACCCGATGCCCTACTCCCTGATGCCTCCTTGGGTGGATTCTGATCTTGCTCCTTTCTCCCTGGCAGCATTTCCCTTCTGGTACTGGGCTATCCACCTCCTGTGACTCTGCCTGTGAGCCTCATGGGGACAGCCTGACAAGGTTTGTAAGCACCTCTTTTGTGTCTGGCTCTGTGCAAACCTGTGGGGATAGAAATCATACTGCGGCTGGGTCCTCCCTTGAGGAAAGCGTAGCATTACGTGAATATGGCGCCTGAGTGTGGGAAGCACTGGGAAGCAAACACATGAGATACGGATTTTCCGTGCTTTCAGGAGACTATTAAGAGCAATGGTAGATGTAAGCACAGGGGAGAAGCATTTACTTTGGCCAGGGATTCAAGGAAGGCTCCCTGGAGGAGGTGGCACCTGAGATGAATGTCAAAGTTCTAGTGGTCGCTGGGGTGAAAGGGGTGTAGACCCGGAGTTGGGAGGAAGGGCCCAGGGTCCAGGGTTCTCTAGGCAGCAAGAATATCAGAGTAGAGGCTCTTGGAGTGTGGTTCAGGGAAGTACATATATAAACCCAAAGTAACTTGGCATCAGTCAAGGTTGAGGGCCGGGAGTGGTGGAGAGGAGGCTGGAGAGGTAGGTTGAATCTGGGCAGTGGAAGACCATGATTTGGCCCATTGTCCAATCTGTGTGGGGCTTGGTCCTCGTGTTCTAAGACCAGACAAGTGCAAGACAAGGCATGTCTGAGAGATAAAGCTCAGCAGGAGAGGAGAAGGGAACTCTGGGCTACCTGCTTTTGGGGTGGGGCCTCGAGGCCCATGTTATGTTTTGGACTCATGTCTGGGGCCTGCCACAGGGCACCTCACTCTCCTTCCATGCAGGGGAAATGCTGAGCCTTGCACCTGCTCCACCTCTTTTTTCATTCCTGTGTACTATGAGGATGTTTCTGGGACTAAGACATTTATTGTATTCCTTTGTCTCTTGGCAGAATTGTCTCTTATCCTCCAAAAGAATATTCATCTCTTTGGTATTCATTGAACACTTATTTCTAAATCTTTTTGGATGATGATGATGATGATGATTTTTTGGTTCTGGGGATTGAACTCTAGGGTGCTTAACAACTGAGCTGCATCCCCAGCCCCTTTTTAATTTTGAGAAAGGGTCTCACTAAGTTGCTGAGGCTGGCCTCGAACTTGTGATCCTCCTGCCTCAGCCTCCCAAGCTGCTGGGATTACAGGTGTGTACTACTCACTTGGTTCTCCTTAGATTATTTGCAGTGTCCATACTCACCCTGTTTACTACCATGCTCACACACTCCACTTTACATCCAA